CATGTCCGCTCGAGCGGAGGAAGGGCCGCTCGAGCGTGAAATGCTAGTTCCCAGAAGTTTTGCAGACATGATGTCCGCTCGAGCGGGGAGATTCACGCTCAGGCGCCAAGCCATGTACTTTGAATTTCAGCTCAAGCATCCGAAGTCACGCTCGAGCGTAAATTTGAGGCAACCAGTACTTTTGCAGATCAAAGGGGTCCGCTCGAGCGGGGAAACCTACGCTCGAGCGGGGAGCCCTGTTTCAGAAAGTTTGTAAAGATGTTTTGTGTTTCATTTTCCATTCTCTTCCATTTCTGAGCACTCTTAGGCATGCATTCAACATTGTAAATGGATTAAGAAGATAATAAAGAGGCCTAAGAGAGATGCACAAGTTAAGAACGAATTGAATCGTTTGTGACCCATATGTGTTATGTAATGTGTAGGGCCGAGCTCGAGGGCAATCCACCGGTAGAACACTGTAAGTAATATCTTAGTAAAGATATTTTCAAGTATGTTACTTTCCGAATGCTACTTCTGTATAAGCTTCATGGATTTGTTGATTTGAAATACGAATGAGTATTCTATATGCCTAATTTGTATTAGGCCGTTTGTCGTTTGCCATTTGTCGTTTGCCGTTGATATGTTTGATATATCTGAATTGGGCCAAAGGCCATTGGACATGAATGATTGGGCCAAAGGCCGTCGAACATGAATGATTGGGCCAAAGGCCATCGGATATGAATGATTGAGCCAAAGCCGTCGGACATGAACGATTGGGCCAAAGGCCATCGGACATGAATGATTGGGCCAAAGGCCGTCGGATATGAACGATTGGGCCAAAGGCCGTCAGACATGAATGCAAAGATGGGCCAAAGGCCATTTAAATATGTCATTTGATATGTTGGAATACCTTGATGGGCCAAAGGCCATTTCAATGAAACGGATCATGATCATGAATATGAAATACGCATGGATATGAATATAAAGATAATGGGTCCGAGGCCGTTTGATATGCCTGATATGTTTGAATTGGGCCCGAGGCCATTTGATGTGTTTGAATTGGACCGAAAGTCGTTTTAAATAGAGAGTTGGTTGGACCAAAGGTCATTTTGAATAGAGAGTTAGTTGGACCAAAGGTCGTTTTGTAGAGATGGACATGAGGTCGTATTGTTTTATATAAGAATTGGACCTGAGGTCGTTTTCCATATGGACATGATGTGTTAGACCTAAGGTCGTTTTGCTTTGTTGAGATTTGTAGATCTGGTGTGAATGAGAATAGTGGTTCAAATATGTACATTGTAAGTATGATTCATTTATGAACGAATCTCATTCATTAACCTTTTTACTTTGATATTATTCACTAGGCGTTAGCTCACTCTCATTTATATGTATGTAGATGAGCAATGGGACGTTCAACCCCAGCTTTAGTGTAATTTAAGAAAGGAACCCGAGTTTTGTGAAGTCAACCCAAGTGCCTCACGCAAGAGGCTTTGGTTATGAACTTTTGTATTCCTTTTTGCTACTTCTATTGGTAGTGATAGACCGTTTATGTCTATAAGCTTTTTGTTTAGCTGACTATGTGTTTGAATGATCCTGGGTATACAAGATGTTGACTACTGATATGTGGTGTGAGTTATTATTAAGTATATGTGAAATGTTTTGATATGCCATGTAAGCATAGCTCATTGGACAAAATTTTTAAGTCTGCTTCCGTTTGGCCCCTTAACTCTGATGAAGTATATTCTAATCTGATTTGAGGCCGTAGGTAATCTCATGATTACTGGCCAGTTATGACCTTAATCTATAGGGGCGGGTTCGGGTCATGACATACATCTACAACTTCCTTGATGCATCATCAATGAAGGTCAAAAAATATTTGCGACTGGCAAGTGACTCCACTTCGTTAGGCCACAAACATTCGAGTATACCATACTGAGCACTTTTGTTTTCCTTTTGCTCATTGAACTGAATGATACTCAATGTTGCTTGCCATAAAGGCAATGATCACATGGCTTCAGGGCACTCCCTTTGGATAAGGGTATCTTCGATTGCTTTGCCAACAGATGCAATCCCTTCTCACTCATGTAAGCTAGTCTTCTGTGCCATAAGTCTTGTGACTCCTTAGCCTCTGCTACATTAAGACTTCCCAGATAGATCTTCGTTTGAGTCTTATACAGTGTTGAAGACATCTCTCCTCTGGCGATTGTCAAAGCTTTTTCTGTCAGCTTCCAACAGCCATTTCCGAATGTAATTGTATAGCCCTGTCAGTCTAGCGCACTTCCGAAGATAAGATTGAGGTGCAAATCTGGAACATACCTCACATCTTTGAGAACCAACTTGTGTCCAGCATTAGTCTGAATACTAATGTCTCCAATACCCACAATCTTTGAATAGCTAGAATTCCTCATTTGAACAGTGCAAAATCTCCAACATTGTATGAGCTAAAGAGGTTTCTGTGAGAAGTGGCGTAATAGGATGCAGCTGTGTCTATCACCCACTCTGTATAGTTATGGTCTGCCACGTGAAGGCAATCTTCCTCTCCACTAGTTGTAAGAAGTATTTCATCAGTTGTTGTGGCTATTGTGTTCTCATCTCCCTTTGACTTGCTACTTTGGCCTTTATCTTTCCAGTTTGGGCAGTTCCTCTTTATGTGACCCTCCTGGCCACAGTGAAAGCAAGCAAAGCTAGAGTTAGCTTAACTTTTACTGTCTCTGGATTTACTCCTGTTGTTCCATCTGCCTCTACTCTTGCTTCTTCCTTTGCCTCTGCATCTTCCTTTACCTCTGTCTCTACCTCTATCTTTTGTGACAAGAGCATGGGACTGATTACCTCCCATGTCTTTTCTCCTTGTCTCTTCATTGTACATGGCATCTGTGACCATGCTGATGGTCAGCTTCCCCTTTGGTGCAGAGTTGCTAAGAGAAACCACCAATGTCTCCCAGCTGTCCGGTAAAGAATTGAATAGTAGAACGGCTTGCATTTCATCGTCTAGGGGCATCTTGACGGTTACAAGTTAATTCACCAGATTCTTGAATTCACTAGTGTGCTCGGTGCCAGACACATCATTCTTCAACTTCAGATTTACAAGCCTTCTCATCACTAAGGCTTTGTTCCAAGTGGTCTTTGACTGGTTCATTCCTTCTAACATTGTCCAAAGGACATATGCATCTATCTCCTAGGCGACGTGGTGGAACACACTATGGTCTATCCATTGTCTGATACAATTAACAGTCTTCTGGTTCATCTTTATCCAGTCTTCATCCTTCACTTCTTTCGGCTTAACCCCTTTTAGAGCAATAAGGTCAAACAGGTCTTTATAATATAGGATGTCTTCCATCCGCGGCTTCCAGATTGCATAACTAGAAGGATTCAACTTGATCATGGATCTTGAAGTTGATGTGGATTCTTCCATTGTCTACTTTCTTTTTACGAAAATTCTGAATTAAATCTGACCGTACAAATCTCTCCAAAATACTCCAAATAGTTGGAAACTACTATTGGATCACCAAAATTAGATTTCAAATGGCTCAGATCTAGCCAAAATAAGTTTGATGGTTCAGATCTGCGGATGTACCTTAGCCGCGTAAGCACCGGATAATCCCTCTGCTTTTGAGTTGGGTCGGGTCAACCCGACAGGTTGACTGGCCAACTGACTAATGATGTGGCTGACACATGGCAACACGTGGAGCTGACGTGGGTGACACGTGTCGGTGACGTGGTGACATTGATGGTGACGCTATGTGGCATTGACGTGGACTACCAGATGACGCGTGGCGTAGCGGTGACGTCATGCACATGCACGCACCACTCTCCTTCTTCTTTCCACTGTGCGTGGGGGCGCGTGAGTGCAACTAAGGTGGCGCGCCGGTGTTATAATCAGCACGTGAAACGCGTGTTTGAGAGTGGGCCTCACGCTCTTTCTTCAGAGGATGCATGACGATGCGTGAGGACTCTTCTTGGGCTCAGCTTTGTAGTTCTGGACTCCTCTTGTCGAGAGCTTCCTCCCGATATGCTCAAAATTGAATTTCGAGCAACTTGATTTCTAGGCAATTTTGAAAAACACACCCTGTTTTTTCTGAAAATCGACCAACGCAGCTCTAATACCACTTGTTAGGATCAAGGCGCACCAGAAATCAATCACACACAATAACACAAGAGATTTACATGGTTTGGCAATTGCCCACATCCAAGGGAGAGATATCCACTATAGAATTTCCCGAAGGGAGTTGACACCACTCACACCTTACTCTCTCTACAGCACTCTTACTCACAGATACATACACTCTGTGTCGCCTTTGTCTGTATGTTTCTTCTCTTCCTCTCAGCCTCTATTTATACATGAAAGAGAGGGAACAAAGTCAAGCAATGGGAGTTATTGGGTTGTCTTCACCTACCATCTCCCTCCTACTTCTTGACTTGGAGACCCAACCTCCAACCTCCAACTACTCCATGTGGGCTGGAGTTAACAATGTTTGCCATTCAAAATTGAATTGAATACAATATTTTAGCCAATTTGTCATTGAGTAAATTTCTTTTCTGGTCATGTTATTTTAGTTCAAAAATTAAGGTCCTATTTTTTCATTGAGAAGGAAATAATTTCAGAAATTAGGGTGGATGCCTCTGCAATGAAATTGCCTCTACATTTTGAGGATATTTGCGTGGTTGATGTATTACAAGAACAGATTCTAATATGAAAAATGATTATACAAGAATAGCTTCTGATAAATTATGATGATTAAGCAAAGCATTGTTGTATTGCTTGAAGTTCTAATTTAAAATAAACAAAATAAAAAAAAAATAAAAGATTGCTTGCTGCATAACAACTTTAAACTCTATTTTCAATCTCATACATATATCAAATTTTGTTATGCTTGCAAAATCTAGGCAATTATGTGTCTCTTATCTCACCCAAATGCAATTGAAAAGTGTGTGCTAGCTTGTGTTCAACTTCTATATTGCGACTATTATTGTCATTAAAAAAATCTAAACTTTTATTGATATTCTTATTTTCACTTTTACAGATTGTGGATACGGAAGGGGAAAGAATGAGAAAGGTAAAGATGAAGATAGAAAAGATAAAGCAAAGACCAAAGATTTTGACAAACAGAAAGGAAAACACAAGGATGAGGAAACATGAAAGTGAGAAAATTAAATTTAAGAAACAAATTTGGCTGGTTTGCAATAGTGGATCCTTGGTTGCATAAGCAGTGACTTGATTGATAACAATAAAGTGAGATCAAATGAAATGTCGTAGTTAAATTAATATGAATGTTACAGTTAGATTAAATATTTGTAATGACAATATTGATGGAATAAAATGATATGTTGGTTGATTGAATGAAATAGTTTGCATATCTTTATTGAATGAAGTGATTTAACAATTTTGATTGAATGGAATGGTTTGAGCATCTTGGTTGAATGAAATGATCTTGATTGAATGAATGTTTTATAGAGCAATTTTGGTTTGTGCATTGATTGAATTGAATGGTCTATAGCAATTGGCAATTTTGATTTGTGCATTGATTGAGTAGAATTGTCTGCAACAATAGTTGTTCTTGGAAACAATTTTAAAGAGTCCCAAAGTGTTTTAAAATGTTGCCCTTCACCACAATGGTCCATGGTTGGAACAAATATAAGAATCCCAATCAAAATATCAACAACTTATACAAAGAAAAGAAATGCATTGCTTAATTTCAACATAAATAGGTCACCATAAAACCTATCCATGCATGAAACCTATCCAATTTCATAAAAAACTTAAAAATAGATGACTTGTTTATACATACAAAAGAGATGACCTGTTCAATTTCAGAAAAAGAAAAAAGAAAAAAGAGAAGCCTATTTCTAAGAACGTCCAACATAAAATTTGTTCCCCAAAAATTAAATATAAAACGTATTTATACATAGAAGGGTCCAGCATCTTCTTGCAATACTGAACTTTAAAAATGTCCAAAAGTTCCAACAACTAGTCAATTTCCTTGGTCTTCTTGCAATCCACTCTCAATTGCTTTTGAAATGTCATCCACGTTATCATGCTCATGCTCATTCGGCTACAACACCCTAAACAATATCAAAATGGAAGTTGACATTAATGAGAGCATAGTTTTATGAGACAACAATTGCCTATTCACCCTATAAGAAGTAGCAAATAAGTAGAAAGCAAAGATGCCGCCCCACCAAAAATCTACTTAAAAAATGTAGTTCAGTAACATAACATTTAAATGCAAAGAACACTGCTATGAAATTCACAATGTAAACTTCACACAAATGCTTAGTTATTCCTTTGATTGGTTTCAAGTAACTCAATTCAGATTCAAAGCCCATCACCTATTCAATTCAAAAAAAAAAAAAAAAATTCAATTAAAAAAAAAAAAAAAAATTCGTTATTGTTTCAAACTAAGATTCAATTCAATTTTTTTCCAATACTATTTCAAACCAAGCTGCATCATGCATAGATAGCAAAAAGGACTGATAAAAGTGTCTTGATTTAAGCATCATATATTTAAATGACAAAATACTCTATCTCGTAAAAAAAAAATAATAAATAAAAAATAAAAATAAAAATAAAAAATGCAATCATATAATAGGACTATAAACATGCCTTTTGAAGTGGGCATGGCATGAACAATCTCAATATCAACAATACTATGTACTCAGAGAAAAATACTTAAAAAGTACTCATAATTGTAAATGTGTACATCAAAGTCCCCGAATCATGTAAAAAGCCCCAAATGAAAACCCTAATTTCGACCCAAAAATATATTTGAAATGAATTAGGTAAAAAGTCCCAAATCAAAAAAAATATTAGGTATTTTATATGCTAAGAATCTCTCATCAACACATTCAACAAGCTTATCATACCATTACCATTCAAAGAAAACCCTATAATTTTTTAAATCAAAACCTCATAATTTTTCAAGTTTGGGAAAAGAAACTATGTTTATTTCAAATCTGTTGAAGAAACTTCGGGAATATCTTTGTGGGTGGCGCGATCGTTGGTGCAAGCGACGGCTCTGTCTCTGTCTCTCTCTCTTTCTCTCTCTCTCTCTCTCTCTCTCACATTGAGTTGTGATTTAGATTTTTGGGGGGTGGGGTTGCTCATCAAAATGACGTCGTTTTGGTTAGGGGACATATCAGCCTTCAGATCACTCTAGAAAAGACGTGAGAATACACCGACCAACACTACAAGAATTTTCACTTTTGGCGACTGAATTTTTACTCGCCAAAAGTCAATTTTTAGTCGCTAATGGCTTTTAGTGACTAAATTGTTTGGTCGCGGCATTAGTCACTCAAGAATTGTCGGGAAATGTAATTGGCGACTAAAATTATTTTAGCAACCAAATGTATTCAATTGCCGACTAAATTTTTAGTCACCAAAAGACTGGTGTAGACACCCCATTTTTTACTGTCCTCAAGACTTGGACGTCACCGCTTGAATACCCGGTGATCATCCATGTTCGTGTTCATTTTGAGTTCCCGGAGGCCTTGGTTACGCGCCTTGCCTCAGGATCTCTCAACTTGTTCGTCTTGCGTTTGGTTTCGCACCAAATACTTGTGTTTTTGCTTTGAGGGGTGGGGAATGGCTTGTTGACCATCCCCACACTCCATCGGCCTTCCCTTTGCATCACCGGCCATTAATTGCTGACACCGGCCATGGTTTCTTAATACCAATGGCCGGTCGGCACTCCATATGGCTGGCCGGCTATCTGTTTGGCCGGCGACCTCCTTTTTTGGCCGGTAACACCTTTTTGCCTTCTTCAGGCATGGTGCATGCCAGCTGTGCCAGCTGGAATACACCAAACCTACCCCGGGGCTAACATGTGGCTGTTTTGCCCCTTTTGCCCCCCTTTGGTCAAAGCTTCTTGATAGTGGGTCCAGATCTGATTCCACTGAGTCTGTGGAGTGGGAGTCAAAGTCAGATTCGAGTTCCTCTAAGTCTGGTACTTCTGGAAGTGGTAACCCAGATACCAAAGTCCTGTCTAGGTCGTCTTTTAGCTTTTCCTTTGAGTCTACTATAACCGAAGATCCAGACTTTTTGAATGGGAATGTTGTGAATATAGCCTACTTCTCAGTGCCTTTGGTTTGTTGTACTGATCTTAATTTTCCAAATTTTGACATAAACGAAGAGGAAGAAATTTCTCGGGTTTTGAAAAATTTAGTTGATCATGAGAAGGACAGGCGTGTTAAGCCCTATACCGATGAAATCGTATCAATTAACGTAGGTACTAAGGAAGATCCTCGCTTGGTCCAGATTGGGTCCACGCTGTCTTCGGAGGAACACGAACATTTAATCGCTTCATTAAAAGATTTCAAAGATGTTTTCGCGTGGTCCTACGAAGACATGCCTGGAATTGATCCTGAGATTGTATAGCACCAGATCCCTCTTGACCCTAAAGCCCGGCTAAGTTAAGGGTGTTTTGGCATTGGGGGTCGAACTCCCCTTCTTAGGCCTCTTTTGGCCTCTTTTGGTGCCTTTTCTTTAAGCCTTGTTAACCTTTGGTGCATTGCTCTTTTCACCACTGAAATCCAGTGGATTTTCAGTGGTGAAGAAGGGGTTTTGAGGTCTTGTAAAGGGGAGGGACACCCCTCTCCCTTAGTCTCTCATTTTTGCATATTCCTGGCTTATAAGGGTAGCATGCATGATTAGGTGTTTTTGGTCCCATTTCAGGGGGTTTTGTATGTTGTTGGGTCCTAATATGCCCTTATATTTGGTCGGATTAGTGCTCTCTTTCATGCTTAATACATTTGCTTTGTATTCCCTTATTTGGCCTAGAAGTGCATCATGCCGTTAGACCGCCATGCTCTCATGTTTTGATCTTGCTTTGTAAAGTTCTTGGCATTATTTTTCATGCTTAAGGTCTGTTGGTTACTGTTTTGGTCATGCTTGACATGTTTGATATAGTTGCTATGCATTTTGGCTTGTGAGCCTTAAAGGTGTGGGTCATAAACATGCCTTAGTTAGGCTTTTTCAGTGATTTGGAATCACTTACCATACCATATCAGTCCATGTTTTGTGCTCAAATATTCGCATCTATCATTCCTTCCATGCCTTGAAGAAGTCTCCTTTTATGCCTTAGAATGGAGCATTGTGCATGCCTTGCGTTTAAGTCTTTGGGATGCCATGTGTGTGGGTTTTGGGGCTCAGTCTAGCATGCCATGGCACTGATTTTGTTGGTCCAATGTCCATCTTTGCCTTCTTTCGGTATGCTTGAGAATTGGCCTTCATGCCTTAGTCCTAGACTCATTAGTTTGCATGCTTATTTTGCATGATTGGCATCATCATTTTAGTGCACTTAGGCCACTGTTTTGGGGTGGGCTGAGGCCTCCTCATTTCAATATAAATCCATCTTCGCATACTTTGCATGTTTGGCATGTTACATTGTATTGGTTGCATGCTTACATTGCATTACATTTGCATGTTTGCATGTTGTTTAGCTAGTTGCATTGCACGGTTGGACCTTGCATGCTTGCATGATAGATTACATTGCATTTGACATGTTTTGCATCTTAGCCTTATGTTGCATAACTTGAGCCATGTTTGTATACTTGCATTACATTGTTTAGCTTGGGGTGTCAAGCCAAACTTGAGGGGTGAGAAGTGTTCATACTTCAAGTGATGCAACATTTCTCAACCCTCGGTCGTCGAGGCCCTTGACTCTAACATGATGGGGTCTTGGTAATCATTTGTGTGTTGCATGCATTTTCATTGACTGGAAAGCTTGGCTTCTTAGGCCATCATGCACAATTGATGGCCCGAGGGTCGAGGGTCATGCTCCCTTGAGTCCCTTGCATGATAGGGAGTGTGACCATGCTTACACTTACTTGAAATTCCATGCCATACAATGCCTGCCCTCTGCTGCTGTCAACTGCATGTTCTACAGGAAGTTTTAGCCGGCCAGCCACATACAGTGCCGACCGGCCATCCTTTGGTGGCCGATAGCTTTATCAAAGGCCGATGAGCATTTACTACGGCCGGTGGTCATCCCTCCCAGCCGGTGGTGTTCCACAGTGTGAAAAGAACCTATCCTGAGACTTGTGTATTTTTCAGGGGAGCTAGGCAGTGTAAACAGAGGCAGCAATGCTATGGCAGCGAATTTCCCGACAGTCCAAATCGAGCACGCATCATTTGCGCCGAAGCGGGGGCTGTGGCCACCTTCCATTTGCATTTAATTTATTAATTAAATTAGAAGTTTTGTAATAATTAATTTAGTATTATTTATTTGGATTGTAATATTTATTTGAACCCTCCGAGTGAGGGCAATTGTGTAATAAGTGTGCGTGAGTGTGTGTATGTCTTCCAACTCCACGCCTTTCTTCCCTTGTATTTACCAGCTTATGATGGT